ACGTTATTTTTTTTAAATTGAAGTAGAAATGAATACTTTAAAAGAATACGACAATTAATAAAGAAAAACAAATTTTCATGATAAATAATTTTCTTCTTTATTGATTTATTTTCTCTTTTTATTTAGCATTTTTTTTTTCTTATTTTTCCTTTTTATTATTCGATTCTTTTGTTTGTTTTTTTTTATATTGTTTCTCATGCTTATTTTTTATTATTATTTTTTTTAATATACAACTTCATTTTTATTTATTTATATTATCATATTGTACAAATTTTATACACTTTGAGTGTTTCTAAACGCTTAGGAGTTGCCATATTCAAAATTAAAAATGAAATCAGGAAAAAATGAAAATAAAAGCAAATTTTAAAGATTGGGGGAGAAAAGTGAAATGTTAAATTTTTTTTTTCGCCATTTTCGAAAGATTGTGTAAACAATGAAAATTTTTACTTTAAATTAAATTGGTCCAACTTTGATCAAATTTTCATTACATTGGTTTTAAATTTTTAAAGTGTAAAATTATACTAAAATAGTACTTACCGATATAGTAGTGAAGAGCATTGAACACGACTCTACAAAAATTTGCAATTTAAATTCAGAAGAAATTATTTAAATTTCAAAATTTTGCAAAAAAAAGTTGTGCTTCACGGAAAATTATTTTAAAATTATTTCAAATATTTATAATATTTGAAATTAATTTCGGTTATCTTTTAATCCTATAATTTCAATATTAATTAATTATTTCAAAGCAAGCCATTTACAATTAGTGTTAATTTTTTATTCTACCAGGTACCTACTATAGCAGTTCGAATAAATATCAAATGCCAAAATTAATTATTACGCTTTAATTTACTAAGGCGAATTATTCTTTTATATTAATTATTTAGTTGATTTCAATGGCAAAATCAATTTAATGTTTATCAAATATACGAAATACTTAGTATTAAACAAGTATAAAAGTATTGTTTTTCACATTGACAACTAAAAAAATAAATTAATTTTTTGAAGGAACATAACATCTAGCTTTTATTAACGGAGTTAACAGAAATACGAATATTAGTTTTAGAAACACTCTGAATATAAATTTATTGTAGGTATACAATAATTTTTAAGTTATTAAGTATTCAACTAATGATTTATACTAAATAATAATTTTATATTTAACATAGATTAACAACTATTTATTGCAATATGTATCAATATATATATATATATATATATAATATGTTTTTATATTTATTAAATCATTATAATTTATAATAAGAAAATTTTGCTTAACACAATTTTTACTTAGTTAATTTTTTTTTCTTGATTTTCCAAAATTTCTACGCTATAATTTGGGTTTGTTGTTTTCTTCACTAAATCAATTTAAAGAAAAAAAGAGAAAATAAATAAATATTTTGTCCCGTACTAATTTATTTTTATATGATAATAAATTTAATTATTTCATTAAGTTTTCCTTTGATTTAAATGTTTTTTTTTGTATTTTTATTTTTTACATTTGTGTTTTCTTTTCTGATAGTGGTTGTGATTATTTTACAATTCTTGTCTTAATTTTTGTATTAATTTTTATTCGTTTTTATTATTATGGTTATGATATAAAATTTCAATGAACAATCGTTATAAATTTATGACAAGGTCTTTTTGGTTTTCCATTTTTGAATTCTTTTTTTTTTTAAATTGGTTTTTTTCTGTATAAATTTTTATTTATATTATTTTTGTTCTTATCACTAAATTTTCGTTTTTTTTGTTCGTAATTTATAATATTTTGTTTATAGGTTTATGGATTCTTTTATTAAAATTTTTTTTGTAGTTCAAATTAAAAAAAATGTTTTGCACAATATTTTTATTGAATAACAACAAAAAAAGAGGGGAATTAATTCCAAGAAACATTAAAGTAAATGGAAGATTGGACAATAATTAAAATGGTTATTGTATTTTTAATTGGTGGAGGAAAATATTCTCATTCTTTATAGACAAAACCATCTTTCAATATTTTTTTGTTCAATTATTTGGTAAGAGAATTGCCTTAAAATAAATTATTCTTGTTTTTTAAATCATATTTTTAACAATTTGCGTTTGTGATGAAAGAGATAAAATTGTATAATAATAAAATAATGAAATATAGTAAAAATAAAAAATTGAAAACTCCGATTAAATTTTTCTGTTATTTTTAGTTAATGAGAGAAGATTCAAAAAAGTTCAGTGTTGTCTTTAGGACTTTCAACAAAGAACAATATTTGAAACTTTCAGATTAACTGAAATTGAAAATTGAGAAAGATTGAAAAATGAGTCAAAATTTTTTCGATCAATGGATTTCAACCAACAGCTTGCAATATTATTTATTTTATATATATATAAATATAATTTTGAAATATTAATGAGGATAATTGAAGCGCGAAACTGTTTTTGCTTTACTTTTTTTAATTAAGTCATTATAGTTTAACTTTTAGAAAAAAGATCGAGATTTTAGAAAAAAAAATTGAAGTACAATTTGGAGTCTTGTCATATTAATTTTTTAGAAAAGGAATCTTCTAATCTCTTTTAATTTTATGTGTTTTAAAGGTATATAAGCCTATAGTTATACTATAGTTACCAGTGACTAATCTATGTTCTATGCTAATCTAACTTAAAAAAATGTTTAGATTTAAAAATTATTTGAAATACAAAATTGAAATTTTTAAAATATTTTTGATTTTAATTCTTTTTTCAAGAAATTTTTCAAATTAATTTTAAATTGAAATCGTTAAAAACACTTTCAAACTAAAAAAAAGCATATTTGAATTCTACTTGGCTTTCAAAATGAATTTTAATTTTCTTTAGAATTTGAAAAATAAAATTTTTAAGAGTGAAATTTGTTAAAAAACTGAATTTGTACAAAAAAAAAAAATATGAATTAGGTGGAAAAATCAATTTAAATTTTAATGTTACCACATCCACTTGTAATAATTTTTCAGAGAATAATAAAACCTTATTCAATTATTTTTTTTCAATTTGTATATATTTTTTATGTATACCTATATCATTTGAATATATTTATGTATATTTTTTTTTTGAATTATAATTTGGAATTAATTATAAAAGCAAGCAAAAATAGTTTTATTTATTTTGTATTTATTTATATGACTTTTTTCACTTGTAATCATCTAATTTTAAAAATTTATTCGCATCACTCACAGAAAGCATATTTTTATTTTATTGATAATTTTAAGTTATTTTTTTTGGTTTTTTTTTTTACATTTGTTTTTATATAATAAAATTCATTTTTTATAATATATTTTTTGTATACATAATATGTACGTTATATAATAATGTGTGTAGGTATATATATATAATGTAATTAATACTTATGGAACTAATTAATAATTTTATTAACCAATATTTCATTAAAAAATTTAATAATTCTTTTTTTTTCTTTTGTTTTTGTTTTATGAAAAATACTACATAGATTTTTGTTTTTGTTTAATTTTTATAACATAAATTTGTACATTTATGATATATTATTTATATGTATATATGTACATATGTATGATATTAGGTCACTAATAATTAATGAAGTAAGTAAAATAATTATTTTAAATAAAAATTTTAAAAAATTAAAACAACCTTTTTATTTTGTTCTTTTACTTTGATTTTATTATTAATGTTATTGAATAATTTTAAGTAATTCTATTTTTAACAATATCATTAATGTTGCATACTTTCAGGCGCTTGCATGCTATTTGATTTACTTGAATATTGTACACTTATTTAAGTTATGAACATAATGCAATTTTAATTGTCTTTATTTAAAACCAATTAATAAAAAAGTATGAATTTTAAATGCGTTGATTGCTTAATTATATAAGAAAATGAAAAAGTTGAAATTTTAATGAAAAAAATTAAGTTAATTTTAATAAAGAAATTAAAAATTTTCGTAATATTTCTCTATCTGAAATAGAACTTTTCGTATTGTATAAGAATATGTAGGCATATAAAATAAATTTCTGTTAAATTAATATAAAATCTGTAGCAAAATTGTTTGCCTAATGATAGATGTCTTTTTTATGAAAATTAAATCAAATTAAAATTCATTAAAATAAATAAATAACATAAATTAAGTTTAATAAAATGAATCAATAGTATCTTTTTTTGATGCAAATTAACAATTTTTATTTTGAATCAACTGATATATTTCGGATATGTATGAATTTTTGAAAATGGTTACAATGTTCTTGGCAGTTCAAAATTTTTTCAATAAATTTCGTTTTATCGAAAAATAATGGAAACAAGAAATTTAATGCATCAAAAAAATTTTCATATTAAATATTATTAGTAAACAAAAGTTTTCTATAAAATTATTTTTAAATTTTATAATTTATTTAAATTTATGTACGTATATGTATGTAAGTATACATATATATATATATATATAGATATATATATATGTGAATAATATATTATGATATTTTAAATTTTATTCTTGAATTTAATTTATTTTTTTTGTCTTTAACAATTCATTTTTTTTTATAATAATTTGTAATATACAATATTGAAACAATAATCTAACCATCTATAAAATATATATGTCTAATTTCAACTGAATTTTAATTTTATCCTTAAATTTGATTTGAATTTATTTTAATTTTTTATTCTACATTTATTTATATATACTTATTTACAAATGGGTTATTGTTATTAACAACATCATTTTGTTGATATGATTTTTTTAGAACTAAAAATTACTGTACATAACGTTGCAATTAAAAAATTTGTAATTTACACTTTTTCAAAATAATCAATTGACATTTTTAATTTATATCTAAATTAAATTGAGAATAGAGGTTTTACATATAAAAGTTCAAAAATCAAAATTATTAAACAAATGTTGGCAATATTTGTGTTCACTTTTGTGTAGATAGGCAGGAAATTCTCAATAGAAAAAGGGTTTAAAATTAAATTGTAAATCTAAAATATTTTTACGTTTAATATGCTGAATAAAACCACAATTTGCTTTTGACAATTTGGGCAAATTGTCAAAATAAAAATTAAAGTAAAAGTAAAATTGCATGCCATTTATACAAATTTTAGGTACAGTGTTTGTAAAACTATTACAACTTTCCATTATTGAGATCGAATTAAATCCGATTGTCGTAAGATAAATTTATAACTGAATTCATAAAATTGAATTAAATCATAAATGAAAGTGGAAATTCTTTGCGCGTTCATTACAAACACGTTTCCGTAATTAAAAACCAATTATGTGTTTTAATTTTCCAGACAAATGATATTAAGATAGGCTAATACCATTTTTAAGCAAATTTTTAATAATTTTTTTTAATAATTTTAAGTGTGTTAATAAAATCTGTATAAAGAGTTCAAGTGGACATTCTTTATCAATTGGTTTCCTTTTTAATAATTATTTTATTAAAAATTATTTGTAAAATTACAAATACTTTATAACGCGAAAGAAATATATATTGAAAACAACGAGTAGAGTTTAACTTTCCATAATATAAAACCGATGCCTTTCTATACAAAAGCAATTTAACACTATATATAGAATAGTTTTTTTTTCTTAGCTTCAATCGTTGTAAAATAAAAAATTTCTGTAATTTAAGCATCATAAAAATTAAACAATTTAATATACACGTACAAAAGTTTTCATTTTTAAAGTTTAAGTTATTACAACAAAAAGTATAAGTGTAATGTAATAATGTTCTTGTATATATTTAATTTTATATTTTGATAATAATAAATTTTATGTACACGTCCACATATAATTTTTAATAGTAATATCTATAGTTTGTTTCCTTTGTTATTTATTTTCTTAATATATTAAATAAATTTATAAATAATTCTTTTGTCCCTTAATTTTAACTAAAAATATTTGATACTAAGTTACCCTTTGGGAATGATTTTTCATCTATTCACTCTTGATATTTTACTCAGTTTTATTGTTGTTCTCGTAGTTGTTGCTATATTTTGTTCTAAAATATTTGGTTTTGACATTTTTATACTTTCATTTAAATTATAACTTTTATTTATGCTGATATTTTTATTAATATTATTTTTGTTGAAAATATTTTTATCATTGATAATGATAATATTATTATGTTCATAAATACTAGTGTCGGTGGTAATGATAGTGTTGATATTATTATTTGAACACCTAGAAAAACTTCTAGAAGAATTATTAAATGTTTTATTTAAAAAGTGACTGTTGTCGCTGCTTTTAATGCTATTATATTCATTGAAATTTTCTTTTACTATTGAATTTGATAATAATAATGGTGTTGATATTGATGGTAATAATGATGATGTCGACATTGATATCCTTTTATTAGTATCTTTTTCTATAATTTTTTCTAACTTAAATGTTGAATTTATAGCTAATAATGATGTTTTTACTACATTTGATGATGTAGATGATGATGTAGTTGTTGAAGATGTTTGCGATGATAGGGAAGATGGCGATGATAGGAATGATGCTGATTTAAATAATGGTACCTCTGTTGATTTTATCATAAATGGTACTAATAAAATATTTTTTACTAAATTAACACTAATCAAATTTAATGCTAGCATTATGAAAATATGAAAATTCATTCGTATAAATTCTATTATCTTTATGATATGAAAATTTATTTTTTCACATAAAATAAATGATATTCTTTTTAATATTTGAATTAGAAATAATATAAAATCATCATCAATATTATCATTATCAATACAATATGTTGAAATAATTGTTGTAGAAGCAATGGGAGTGTTATGAATTTTGTCAAAAGTTGTTCTTGTGGTATCAACAGCAATAGAAGTAACATTTTTATATCCAACAATATTTACTTCAGTATCATTATTAATATTATTATTAATTATTTCAACTGAGAAAACGTTACGATATTCTTTACTATTGCAATAATAACCATCACAATTGTTATTTCTGGTTGATGCTGTCGTTGTTTGTTCGAAAGTATGTGCTGTTGGGTTAGGTGTTATAATAACATTTTCTTTAAATATATTTTGAGTTGTTTCCTTCTGTATTCCTTCAGCTTGTTTTTCTGTTTCTATTTCTTGTAATAAATTTTGTATTGTTTTGTTGTTCTGATGTTCAACAAATTTCTCAAGGTTATTTTTGTCATCAACAATATCATCATTATTATTATCAACAATATTATAATAGCTGTTGTTATCAGGTGATAGGATCAATATTGTTGATGATATCATATTTTTTCTTGATATAATTGTTGTTGATTTTAATGTTTTTATATCACCTAGCCACCAAAATGATGTTGTTATTAAGGATAACGTTGATGATTTAATACCATCGAAAGGTCGTCTTAACCAATAGAATGGTATAAAATGATAATGTGAATTTATAGAATATCCTGATGATGCTTTATTATGAAAAGCACCTGGGGGATGACGAACTGATGGCGGTTGATTTGAATCTCCTAGAATATTATTTTAAATATTTATTGCAAATAATATTCAAAAAGAGCAAAAAAACAAAAGAAAAGAACAAAAAAATATTATTTATGTGTTAAAAAAAGAAAAAGGTTAAATGATATTCATAAATTATTCCTTTGTTTAATAAACATCATAATATATGCGTATGTACGGTTGCTAGTGTGAGTGTATAACAAATAAATTTGTTAAATGAGAAAATATACAACTAAATAAAAACAAACAATTTACTTAAAAAATTTTTATTCGTACATAAAGAAATAAAAAATATAATAATATAAAGTGTGTTTATTAGAGTATATGGGGAAAGAGAGAGAAAAAGGACTAAAACATGATTATTAAAAAATATGCATGTTTGTATTATATGACTCCTATAATGTATTTATGTACATATATGTAGGTATTCACAACATATTGAATTACGTAATAGATGATTTTGGGTTATATTTTTTTTAGTTAGCCCTTGGCATGGAAAATTTTCATTAAGTGTTTCGTATGTAAAATATTTAAATTACATACATATAATATAAAAATTTTTGTTATAGTTTTATACAGCATGAGATATCAAAAGTAAAAATTACATATAGGGGTACATTAAGGCTACTGCCGAAAAGGATTAAAGCGAACGAAATGTTGAATTTATTATGAATTTTTGTTTCTCATTTTGAAAATATTTCATACATTTTTTTTTGTATGTTCCATTTTTCATAAATTAGATAAAGGATTAAATTTTCATAGCAAAGTGTTTTTTTCTTTTTTCATACAAATTATTGTTTTATGAGTTTTCGCAAAATTTTTCAATAAAAAAATTAAATTAAAAAAAAATTTTGATTAATTAATTATTTTGGTCATATCGGATTTGGAAATTCGTTTAAGCTAGATTTTTTTAGAGAAAAAAATTAAAATAGAAAATAAAATAAATAGAATTAATATAGGTACCACACAAGTGCTCCATAGGTGAGAATTGGTAACACAACCGCTGTACAACCAAATAACCATGCTCGGTTTCAATCCCCTCTACCTTCCAATCTATTTTCTTATAAGTACAGTGGGCCGTGAGAGCTATCCTTACTCTTTCCTTCACAATATCCTTTCTCTTTCCTTCAATCACAATTTTTTTATGCATTCTACGCAATACATATTGAAATCAAATATATATGATAATAATATCAAATATCAAAAAGACCTTTGAAAAGTTTGAATTTGTTTGAACTAATATTTGATTACTCGGAGAAGAATAAAGTGTTAAAAAAGTGTTTAAGAGATTTTGCTAGTAATTATTTTAATTCTTTGCTCTAAAATTATAATCGCTTTTAAAATTTTATTTAGAATTTGAAGTATTATTTTTAAGTATCAAAATTTACTCATTAATATTCGTATTTAAAATAATAAGCAGATATAGTTAGGTACTTAAAATTTCATATTGATATATTAGTATTAATTTACAACATATTAATTTGTATAATACCAAAGTACATCTGAATTATAATTGCTAAATTTAATTTTGAAAATTTTAGAGTTTTCCCAACACAATTAAAACTCATAAAATTTTTAGTATCATTAAAATTTTTTTAAGTAGGGCTAATTAATAATGAATGTAAAAATGTTTTCTTTTTTTGCTTTATCAATTATTTTGTACCAATGACTAAAGGGTTCAAATTTTTTGAAAACTATAAAAGTCGTAAAAAACACTGCAATGGTAAAAACTAAGCTAAATTTTGTTTTTAATAATGTTTCATATAAATAAGTTTTACGTATTGTTTTTTTTGCGTTAATTAATTAATGGTTCTGATTTAAGCAACCATTCAAATATTTATTTTATATATAGGTAACAGGTTAATACTCTCTAAAGTACTTTGCATTTTTTCATATTCATTTGAATTTTGAAAAGTGCATTTAATAGCACAACTTTTGATAGTGAAACTTTTCTCATTACTATCACGGTACTTCAATTCAAAAAACTAAAGAAAAATTAAAAAAAATTAAAAAATGAAAATAAAAACAGAAATATTAAAAGTTCGACGCAAAGAAGTGGTTTAAAAAGAAGCAGATATCTTTTTGAAAAAAACCACCAAAGTTTTGTGTGAAAAAGAAGAGTCATGAAATGAGCCAATAAAATGAACTTGACAAATGTGTTGAAGAAACAATTTGCATAGAGCAATGTCTTAAAAAACTTCACGTTTCATCCTAAAAGTCATAGGCGAAATATTCAGACAGACGAAATCACATTGAAGGAGAAATAATTTAAAAGTTTTTCCTATATAAATGGTAAATTGCTAAAAAATACTTTTCTTTTTCCTAAAATGAAAATTCACCACTATTAAAATTTTTCTTTGTTTTCGAAATATACATAATGGATTTTTTTTTGCCTTTCATACACACTCACTATAAAAGCAATTGAAGTTGATTATTAACGTTTTTCTCCAAAATATAAGAGCAGAGTGAAAAAGATTTTAAAGAGAGTAATGTTATTTTTAGCGAAAAAAGGAAAAGAAAACAAAAACAAAAAACAAGATTTTATTAATTTTATTAAAATATAAAAAAGATAAAAAAAATCATAATATAAAAATTTTACTATTAGAAAGTATGGGAAAAGCGGTTTTTAAAAATAACAAAAAAAAAAAAGAATTAAGAGGAAAAATCGTAACGGTAGAAAAACGAAAACAATTAAAAAAAACTTACCGCCATCTTTCCATTCTTCGAGACCATAGTCTGGTATCGCGTTTGGCTCAAATTTCCGGTTATGTGGTCGTTTCCCTGCTGCAAAATAAAAGTAAAAAGAACAGAACTTTTTTTCTTTGTTTTTTTTTTGGACTTTTTCTCTGACAAAAAGTTTAAAAGCCGTTTAATTTTAAAACATAAAATTCAAAAGAATAAAATAATAAAAATGAATTAAAAACAAAGTATTGAATAATTTTTAAAAAGCTGAAGAAAAAAAGCATAAAATCAATTGAAAAGTTTTGTAACTATCAAAACAAAAATTCTTTTTTTTTTTTTTCGAAAATAATATTAATAAAACGAAAATTTTTGCATAATTAGTAAGTCCGAACCTGAAAACATTTGTATATAAGTATATATGCATAAAAAAAACTTGAATAGGAATAAAGATAGGTAAGAACGCTTGTATGTTACCTAATAATTGGACTCGTTAATATTCGACTTTTTAAACATACCAAAAGCAATATTTTATCTTGTTAACACAATTTTCATAGTATTTAAAAACAAAGGTACATTTCCGGAAAAAAAATTTACTTGCTGGAAAAAGGAGAAGTACCTGGATAGTTAAAAAAAACAAAAGCCTAATATGCTAAAAGTTAAAAATAAATCAAATAGTGAAATGACTGTAAAAAATATTTCCCTGATATCGATTCGACAATGGAAAATTGCATATCAGAAAAAATAACATGGATAAAACAACTAGTTGTTAAACGAAGAAAGAAAAAAATGATAAATTTGTGATTTGTGATGGTTACAAAAATAATTGTTTTATATGAACACAAAGTTTGTTACAATTTTTCGAGCTGGATATTGAGAGAGCAAAGAAAGAAACAAAAATTTGCGGTAAAAAACTCTCTAATAATCGTCATCCGCATATTTCTCCTACGGTCTTAGAGCTTTATATAGACTTAATAAGAATATGAATGAAGTCTGAAAAATAAGAATGCGAAATATAAACGTCCAAGCATGAGGTTGTCTAAGCAAGTAAAATCCAAAAATGTTCAATCACAAGCACATACATTAAGGGCGAGAAGAGACTCTTAGACATCTAGGAAACTCTTGGAACGAGTGCAGAGACATTGTATTTGCATCATGGTGATTACGATTACGTGCCCAGCTGGATTACGTAATTTTGGACCTAACCCCTTCGCACCTTATTATTAGGATGGTTTTTGGCAGGTCCTCCGGATCTTTGGCAGGCCATGAAGCTTCTGGAAAATTATGAGCAGCCGCGTTTTAAAATGTTTACACAAATGGGCTAAAATAAGGAGGGGTCTTATCGAGTGAGTTACTAGCCAAGGCTAGCTTTGAAAAGTGAAGAGACTTGCAGATTCTTTGAGGGTTATGAGGAGACCTTAGTACCTCTTCTGAAAGAGGGTGTTGCTCTTGCTCAGAGGAAGAGGGTGTTGCTCTTGCTCAGAGGAAGAGGGTGTTGCTCTTGCTTTTGTTTTCACGAAGTGGAGTTGTTGTCTTCTGGGCCTTACTAGTTACTCGAGTTCGCAACTATTAAATATTTTAAAAAGAAATTTATAAGAATTCTCACAGGTAAAATTCTTGCAAGCATAAATTTCAAAATTTAACTTTGCAATTAAATGCAATCCTTACCACATTATTAAAATTTTACCTTAATTGTATTAATTAAAAGTTTACAAAACACCTTCATTTCCATGTATAGTAACAGGTACAATAATTTTTAAATTAACTTTAAATAAAATAATATAAAAGAAATTAAAAACAAAGTAAATAAAAAAAAGAAATATGTATTAAACAATTGCTTTTCGTAGTGTGAGTTGACAGCGTGATAATTGTGGTGACAGACTTTTCTTTCTAATTTAATTTTAACATTGTACTCTTTATGCAGAGCACTTAATATTTTCGTTAAAAATCAACAATATATTTGGTCTGCTCTTTAAATATTTAAGTAAATGAATTTCTGTGTTATGTTTTCTTTAAGTTTTGTGTTACAAATAAACGACCTACGAGATATAGTAAGAGTACAGAATGCAAGAAAAAATAATTCACTTTACAATTTTATTTTAAATACCAGTGTAGTAAGAAATATTAAGTATTAAAATAAGCTAGTGGAATAATACAATTTTGTGGTACAATAAAATTCTAAGCGACGAAGAAAAAAAAATTGTGGCGATTGTTAATGTGCCTGCCGTTGTAAGAATTTAAAGAAAAAGAAAGAAAAGGAGAGAAAAATTCAATGTGGGGAAGGATATTAACATTTTTTGGATAACTTTTTCAATATAAGATTCTTTTTTCCTTCATTTTTCTCCTATATTATACTGTGTAACTTTGAAAAAAAAATTAACAAGAAAATTAAACAAGAATTTCAGAAAATAATAGCAAAGAAAAACGAGTTATACATATAGAAAATTATTTTAAATTACCCACCTAAAGTACGATTGAACATTGTGCTATCACCGGATGCAATTGCTGTTGTTGGCGTTGGTATTTCTATGAAAGAAATGTAAAAGAGGAAAAAAATATGAATTAAAATTTGTAACAAAATATAAAAAATATTCTTTGTTCTTCTTTCTTTTTTCATACTAATTGCAATTAAATTAATTGTTATTACACCCGTTATAAAATAATGTTAGTATTTTAGAAAATGGGTGGTTGATACTTTTTTAAAATACTTTTTTTTTCTATGAAATATTTTAATAAAAAAAAAATCAACTACAAATTTTTTGTTTATTTTATGTCTTTATGGTTCATTATACTTTAAAAATTCATTGGAATAGTAAAAAATAGTAAGAAATTTGGGTTCTTATGAAAAAGAATGTTATAAATATTTAATTATTACCATCTAATTTAATGATTCCATCGGTTTCCCCAAGTGAATTTTTTGCAACGCATCTGTATGAACCGAAGTCATTTGGTCCCACATTACGTATTTTTAATTTCATAAATTTTTGATAACCTCGTGTTAACGATGTCGTCTCAAATTTATCACCAGCTCTCGATGTATCTAGCAATAAAATTAATAAAATAACATTAATTTAATGATACATATCCTATTCTGAAAATGTTAAAATATACCAACTGAAAAATTTATAAAAATTACTATTATTTATTTAAATTTGTAATATTCATTTCGAATTTTTAGGGTGGCAGAGAGCGCAGAGACCTTTTTAGGAGGCAGCATTAACCGCAAAAAGGCATATTTTGGCGTCAAAGAATAAAGAACAAACTAGATAGAGGTCAAGAGCCAATATGTACCCAAATACTAAAGATAATTTAAAGATAAATGGATATGGAATATAGATTGACTACATTCTAAGGCAACCAGCAACATCAATTATGCGCTGAGCTTTGGAAAGATGAGATTTAGAATAGGAAATTTGCCCAAGTTTAGTTTTAAAGTCATATTCTAATATATTCAAACTTTAATTTTAAAGTCATATTCTAATACTTATATTCTAAAAATAATTCGGACGGTACGGGAATAAAATAACCGAAAGATAAGAGATTTTAACTTCACCTTCTTCAAATCTAAATATTCTTTTAAAATTCCTTTAAACTTGACCATTATGAATTCATTGGTTTTTGCTTTTGTGATTTTTAAGGAAATCAAATTTTCAAATTGATTTTTATTCATTTTATCCTCTTACAAAATAATGAAATTCAATGGAGAAACCTTAAATTTTTGCCTAAGCAAATATTCTTATTGATAAAAACCATTTCTAAAATTCAAGATTTCCCTAATATAAATTCAAAAAACTCTCTTCTCAATTTAAAATTCAGGTTTCGTTTTCTTGTTTTTTTTGATTATGATTTGAAATAATTTTTTTAATTTCAGAAAATCATAGTGTATATGATCCTACGTTGTTAGATAAATCTTTTTAACAGAATTTTGGTAAAGGTTATTCAAACCAAATTTTCCAGTCTTAAATTTCAATCATGAAAACAGTTAAAGTTGAATGCAATAAAAATTCATTTGTACTGCCACATATGAAAATGTAATAAGAAATCTTTAAATATACAATTTGAATTTTTTACTTTTATCATGTTTAGGAGGCATTGTATATAAAAACTTGAAGTCATGTGTAAAAAACACGCAAAATATTTTGTATTGTTTTTTCAAGAAGGGAAAGTTTTCTAAAAGTAAATTACGGTTGGCCCTACTAGACAAATGATTGTAGAAATGTACTAAAAATTATGTTTCTAATGGGAAACTAATTAAGGCATACTTTCCTATTCAATTAACCTTTTGCTCAATAATTCAAAATGTTTCATCAACAAAGTCAAAGATCATTGCCATAAAAATCAGAAGAACATTAGTTTTCTTTTATTTTTTTTTTCATAAAACAAAATACATTAATACCACACCATTTATTACATTGCTTATAATATTTAGTCACCTTTACAGCAATTGAATTCAATGAAAATAAAGTAAAAAGTTCTTGCTTTTCCTGTATATCAATGGGTTTCGAAAATGGGAAAACAAAGTATGTATAAAACCCTGTTATTCATTCCTTTATTAACCAAAAAATAAAATCACATACAAAAAAATCTTGTTTTACTCGATTTTTCAAATGTCTGGTTTTTTAATGTATTACAACCCTTTTTGTATGTACGTCACAAAATTTACATAAAATATTCAATCATGTGTACATTGCCGTTGCCTTAAACTTCTTAGCATTGAAATTCACAATAGAAATAAAGAACAACATATTTGAAAGTGTAGGACAGATACAAGTGAAATGAAAGAGAGGAAAAATAAGAAAAAAAAATATTGAATAAAAAAGCAAACCCCTTCAAATTGTAATTTATGCACATAATATATATGTAATAACCAAAAAACTCCCATTTCGAAGGACATTAAGACTAAAGAACAAGAATAACACAATAAATATTGCCTTCTTTTTCTTAAATTTTACAAAAAGTTCACATATTTCCATATAAAACCATTAAAATCAAGAAAACAATATTGTAGAATTTTCAAATGCAAGGTACATTATGGGAAAGAATCTCATATTTTAAGTAGGAAATCTTTACGAATAATTTAAAGTCTCGACATACATATTAAACGTACCTGAATTGTATCTTCTATATAGAAATAACAAGGATAATCACATAAGGGACTTATACAGTTATAAATTTTATTCAAAAGTTTTTAAGCGAAACAAAGTCAAAAAAGCCAAAAAATACAAAAAATTGTTTTTTGTCTTTGGAAATACATAGTAAAAATCGTAAATACGTGACGTCATTTGTCAAAAGTTAAACAAATTTTCAAAATGATGTTACAGTAAAAAAAGAAAAAAAAAAGGACATTGCAAATACGATTTATATTCTGTTTTGCATGGGAATAAGGAAGAAGGATAATATCAAATAGTTTCCTTTTTTATTTCTGTACTTTACTAAAAGGTTAGGATTTTTGTTATAGTTTATAACCAATGTTGATAATGGTATAATAATGGTTGGTTGGTGGGTCGTTTCTGCTTTTTTTTGTTTATTTTTTGGTTTTTATAATATGGTTTCGTCTAAGTTAATATTTAAAAATTTAAATTAAATGTTATATAAAATCTTGTTATTTTGATTTTGTTTTGGTTAACGAATAGTTTTTAAAGGACAATTTAAAAAAAGGGATATGATTATTTTTTATTGTTAACTATCATGATATATTTACAATAGTAATTTTCCCAAAAGTTTACAAAATAAAAACTTTTAAATTTAATTTTTATTGTAAACAAAAATTTCTTTTACTATGCTTGTTAATCCTTTTTTTTTATTTAAATTTTTAAAGAAAATTATTTAAATATTTGTTTAACTTTTTTATAACAGTGGTGAATAACTTAAAATTATAATTTATAGTATTGTTTGAACACTATTAAAGCATCACTAAAGTTAATCTTAACAATAAAAAATGACTTAAAATTGTAAAAATGAATTAAATCAATCAGAAAACGTGCATCCCGCAGTAAGAATAATTTTAAAATATAATTTTAATTTTATATATTTGTAATTAACTTTTAGTAAGATTTGTTCAACAATTAAACAACCGTGGTAGACGCTATTAACAGGTTTTTGATCTAGTCGTAGATTATGTATTACGATTTTATGCTTTGGCATCCAGCTTTTCTTCAGTGATCGTCATATCACTATCCTTCTTAATTAAAAAAAAAGAAAATGTTACATTCCCCTCTATTATGTATATCGGTATCGGCCGATAAACGATAATTTATCGGCAAAATTTTGTGTTTGTATTACCAACATTGTTTATCGGTAAATTTTATCGGAGTCGGGAAAGCTTTTTTTCCTGTATAGGAAACGTATTAGCTGGTATTATGAAAACGATAAATTGTCGGATTTTCACCGATTTAAAAGCGGGTACAAATTTTTAGACGACAGATTTTTTTTTTTGTAAAATCTTCATTTTATCAAGGAAACTGGTGTAATTAATTGCTTTTTTAAAATGTAAGCATTTTTTCTAAATTATTTTCTTTCAAAATGTTATTCATATATTTTATTTAGGAGTAAAATCGTAAGCAACAAAAAACAAATTGCGCGGTTAGTAGAAAAAATGGAAGAGGACTTAAACCTGGCAAGGAATGATAATCTGAAATTCTGGATAAACCTAAAAAATGTGTACATATTATATAAATAATAAAATAAAATAGGTACCTAAACATACATTTTGTTGTCTAAATCCAATGGATTAGTTGAATCTCTTATATGTCGTCTTTGAATAGCTTGCGTTTCTTCACTTTCAAAATATAATGCACGCGACATTTTCCCGATATATGTATATTTTTATTTTACAAATTTAACAGAAAATAATTTGCTTACAACAACTTTTTAGCACATCAAAGCCAAATTCAAAATAGTTTTAAAAATTTTTTGAAAATAACTTTTGAAAGAAAACAAATGTCATTAGAAAAAAAACTTTTTCTCCAATTTACAAAAACAAAAATTTGTATGAAAAAGCTTCTTTTAATCGGTTGAAATATTTTTATCGGTATCGGTTCATAATACAGAAGAAACTTAAAACCGATTAGAACTGCCGATAATATATCGGCCGATACCGATGTTCATAATAGAGGGGATTGACAAATTTGGAAATCACTGCCCTAAAAAGAAACAAGAAATTTTTTACACAGTCTTAGACTAACCTTTGGATAGTACAAAGCAATTTTATATTTATTTTGAGTTTAATTTAACTAATTTGTTCTGCACATTTTCTTCAAATAAATTTGTAACCTTTTTTGGTTTGAAGGAGAAATCTTATAAATTGCGATATAAGATAAAACAAACTGAGCAATGCTGCCTTTGGGTAGCGCAAATTCCTTTCAGCTGCTAATGGAAGAAGAATCTACAAAAAAAAAACGTAAAAAAGCTAAAAGCAATTCATCGTCCACATCAGTCATAACCTCAAATGCAATTTTTTCGCAAAATGATGGCAAAAGATTCCTTAATATTAGTTCTACTGACGATAACAAACCTCTCAGAAAGTACAATAAGTTCCTAATCAATAAATACCTAGAGGGGATCTACCCCAAATTCAAAGCTTCATGGAATAGAACTGATAACATTATACTGGAAGTTGAAAACAAGCGAATTGCTGATATTTTTCTAAGGCAGGAGAAACTAGGCAATATTGACGTTAAAGTTGAATTAAATAAAGCTCTTAGCCAATCTAAAGGTTTAATTTTTGATCGTGATCTGATACACGTCAGCCAGGAGGAAATTCTTGCCAATTTAAAGGAAAAAAATCCAATAATTTCCGAAGTTTTTAAGCTATCAAAGTTACAAGGCTCAGAACGTGTATTCACTGGAGTTCTTATAATAACTTTTGACACAATCCAAGTACCAGAATATGTTAAAAGTGGTTTTACGATTCACTCTGTGAGGAAATGGTATCCTAATCCAATGAGATGCAGAAAATGCCAGAAACTAGGACATCCACAAAAATATTGTAAAAGCTCGCCAAGATGTGCAGATTGTGGCATCGAAAGACCAGAAGGAGAC